CCCTCACTTCCGAGGAACTCGATGTCGTCCAGTTCATGAGAATGGAGCGCAGAGATCGCAGCTCTCGACCACCCTCATCTCCCCCACCCTCCCGCCTCAAGAAACTCACCCCCGAGGAGCGCACCTACCTCCAAGCAAAAGGGGGTTGCTTCCGTTGTCGCCAATTGGGGCACCAACAAACCAACTGCCCTAACGCCGCACGATTCACCCGTCAGTCCGCCTCCACGCGACCCGCAACCTCCGCATCACCGCCCTCGGCAAGCGCGGGCCCCTCCTCATCATGAACACAGTCCCCAGGACACTGATCCGACATCAACATTGCATCTATCAGCCTACCATCAGTCGCACTGATGGCCCATTTGACATCGACGATTCGTTTGCCTTTCCCCTCTCCGGCAACGCCCCCTCCACCGGACGATTCCCAGGCATCGCAAACACCTCCCACTGCCTCATGCTCCTCTACCCTTCCTCCAAATGCATCCACTATCACCTTCTCCGATGTTGTTGAGGAACAAGCCCGACACGATCGGCTTGTCCGCYTAGGCAACGAACAACGCMGCCTCAACACCATCATCTCCACCGCCAACTCATCCCGTTTCCACCTCAAATTCATCGCTGCCACCCTTGGTGCGTCTACAACTAAGTTTCGGGCCCTCCTCGACATTGGAGCCACCGGTAACTTCATCACCGACGTGTGTGTCTGCAAAGCCGGTCTTACCTCTACCGGCTATGACTCCCCGATCACGATTCGCCTAGGGGACAAAGACACCGTCGTCGTAGTAGACCGCATGGCTCCTGAGACCATCATGACCGTCGAAACCCTCCGCAGTCAGGTCTCGTTTGATGTCATGCACTTGATGTGCGACATCGTCTTAGGAACCCCGTGGCTGGACCGCTACATGCCATACGCATTCCACCCCAACTTCCTTCGCSTCACCAACCCCCCCGACACAACCATTGACATCCCCTATCTCCCATATCCGACCTCCCAACTTCCTTCGCGTCACCAACCCCCCCGCACCAATTCCTCCACATGGCTCGCCTAAACCCCGATTCCGCCTACTACTGTCTTGTCCTTGATCACAAAAGTCCCAAGGACTTACTCCCGACGATCAAACCCGATCAAGCCCCGCCCTCCAACCCCGCCATCACTTCAATCCTCGACGAGTTCAGGGACGTCTTTCCCAAGTCCTTACCCGCCGGACTACCTCCGGATCGTGGCGTATCGCATACCATCGATTTGGAACCTGGGCATTCTCCACCTTGCCGCCCTCCATACCAACTCTCTGTCCCCGAAGCCGAAGAAATGAAACGACAACTCGGTGAACTTCTAGAAAAAGGGTTCATTAAGCCAAGTTCATCCCCCTTCGGAACCAGCTGCCTTTTCGTCAAGAAAGGTGGAACTTCGGAACTCCGCATGTGCACAGACTACCGCGCCTTGAACCGGATCACGATCAAGAACAAGTACCCCCTACCTCGGATTTCCGAGCTCCTTGATCGCTTCCGTGGAGCTAAGTACTTTACCAAGATCGACCTTCGTAGTGCCTTCCACCAGATCCGTATCCGCGAGGAGAACACTCACAAGACCGCCTTCCGCTCTCGGTTCGGGCACTACGAGTTCCTCGTGATGCCATTCGGACTCACCAATGCCCCCGCTACCTTCCAATCCACCATGAACCACATCTTCCGCAACCTCCTCGAAGTCTGTGTCGTTGTCCACCTTGATGACATCCTTGTCTTCAGCCCCACCTTCGAGTCCCACCTTCAGCACCTCCGCCAAGTCCCCGCGATCCTCCGAGAGCAAAAATTCTACGCCAAGCTCAGCAAATGTACGTTTGCCACTTTGAGCGTCGAATACCTCGGCCATATTGTCTCCGCTGAAGGCATCCGTATGGACCCCTCAAAGGTCACAACCCTCGTCGAGTACCCCCCACCCAAGACCCTCCTCCAACTTCGTTCCTTCCTTGGCCTTGCCAACTATTACCGCCCGTTCATTCGCAACTTTTTCGAGATTTCGTACCCTCTTCACGAACTCACCCGCAAGGACGAGCCTTTCCATTGGAACGATCGCCGCCAACAAGCTTTCGACTTACTCAAGCAAACCATCACCACGGCCCCTGTCCTCAAGATCGCCTACCCCATTACTGACGCCTCCGACTTTGCCATCGGAGCCGTATTGTCCCAACATTTCCCCCGCGACACCGCCGAGACCCCCCCCATCAAGGACTCGTCCACTCACCCCGAGGCTCCACCTGGCGAATACCCTATCGCCTTCGCAAGCAAGAAGCTCCTTCCCGCGGAGATGAATTACCCCTCCAACGAGAAGGAACTCCTCGCCGTGATTCACGCCCTCACAGTCTGGCGCCCGTACCTCGACGGACAATACTTCACCATCCGCACTGACAACACCATCGTCTCCTCCATCCTCTCCAAGAAAGATATCACTCCACGCCAAACCCGCTGGCTAGACTTCCTTGCCCAGTTCACATTCACCATTTGCCACACCCCCGRCAAAAGCAACCRCGTTGCCGATGCCCTCTCGCGACGMCCCGACCACAAGCCCCYCGAGAWAGTCTACGCCACCATGACTCATATTCAACTCCTTCCATCGCTTCATCATCGATACACCYAAGGYTATCTCTCCTGCCCAGACTTCGCCACCATTTACAACAAGCTYCGCGATCTTGACTCAGTTCCCGACTACTCCCTCCACAACAATCTCCTCTACATCGATACCAAAGGCACTCGCCGACTTTGCATCCCCGACGCACGAGGCCTCCGTACTCAGTTGTTGGCCGAGCACCACGACGCCAAGACCGCAGGACATCTCGGTTTCCAGAAGACCTTCGACACCATGTCCCGCTACTTCTACTAGCCTTCCCTACTCGCCGACGTTAAGGCATACATTCGCTCGTGCCCCACGGCTCAAGCTGTCAACCCCTCGAACCGGGCCAAACCCGGCAAGCTCCAATCATTGCCCATCCCAACTCACCGGTAACAGTCCATCTCCATGGACTTCGTGTGCGGCCTCCCCAAGACCAACCGCGGGCATGATTGCATCTACGTCATTGTCTGCCGCTTGACCAAACATGCCCACTTCATCCCTTGCACAACCTCGCACAGTGCCAAAGATGTCGCCACACTCTTCTTCGACCATGTCGCTCGCTACCACGGCCTCCCCGATAACATCATCAGAGACCGTGATCCTCGCTTCCTCTCACAATTCTGGAAACACCTATTCACGGCCTACGATATAGCACTGCATTCCACCCATAGACCGATGGACAATCAAAGAAAATGAACGATACACTCCAAAGAATCCTACGGAAGTATTGTCATCCACACCAATACGATTGGGATCAGTTGCTCACAGTCGCCGAAATTGCCTACAACAATATGGTGGGCCCCTCCACTGGCATGTCCCCTTTCTACCTCGACCTTGGCTACCATCCCCGCTTGCCCTCTAATTTCTTGCTTCCCTCGCAGCTCAGTCCCTCCACCCCTTGCCCCTCTCTCAATGAATGGATATGAACAATGAACAGACTCCTCAAAGAAGCAACCGAAGCCCTTGAAAGAACACAAGAACAACAAACCAACTAGACTAACAAACACAAACGTGACGTGTCATTCAAAGTAGGGGACAAAGTCTGGCTTTCTGCCAAACGCTTTGAACCCGAACAAGGCTTGTCCAAGAAACTCTCGAACAAGTGGCTCGGTCCCTTCCCCATCATTAAACATACCTCCCCCGTCAACTACAAACTCCAAATCCCCCCTGACATGAGTCGTGTCCACCCAGTCTTCCATGTCGAGTACCTAAAAGAATACCATGAATCCCCGCTCCAGTTCGCCGACCGCCCATATCCTAGACCTCCACCAATCATGCTACCCACARRCCCTGAATTCGTTGTCGAAACCATCATCGGTCGACGAACCACTCAGGTGTCTGATCATCCGGAACCAATCACTGAATACAAAGTCAAATGGACCGGATACCTCAACGAAGAATCTACATGGGAACCTCTCTCTAATCTAAGAACGCCATGAAACTTGTTCGCGCCTATAATCGTGCTAATCCTACGTCCTAGATACCTATATCACTATGGCATAAACCCCCGCAAAAAAACCCTTGCAACCCTGCTCTACACACACCCTTGAACCCAGTCCACCCTTCCCTTGATCCGCATTCCTGATGTCTGATCTGCCCTTGCCCTCGCCTAGCCTTGTCCCATCTGTCCTCTCCAATACCTTGTCTCTCTTGTCCAATGCTTGTGAACTTGCGTGACGCCGACGATAAAGGATCTAATGGCAAGCGCACGAGGACGATGGTCTGCTGCCTCACTGTTCATGGAGATTATGCAGCTGGTTTGGCCACCATGCTGTTTCATTGGCCGGCATCCCGACTCGCGGACTTACTGGAGCAGCAACTTGTGACATGGATCTTTGCATCAGTCTGCGACTTCCTTGCTTCCCAGATCGGACCTCATTGCAGTTCGTGTACCGGACGCACCCTAGCACTTGGACCTTGACACTTGAACTACTACTACGCTTCTTGGACTTCTACCTATCGCAGCTGCTGAAGACYGTTGCAGACCCCCTTTCAAGACACTTGGACACTTTGTTCCTACATGAGATTCTGCTTCCGACTCCTTCGGACACACCAGCCTTCGCATCCTGAACAAACATTTTCATTTTTATTTTTTCCTGACTTTGACAACCCTGTAGAACATCATTAGCAGATCCCTGTTTCCCTAACCATTGTCCCCCTTACCCATTAGAACATCAATAGAAATACCCTGCTTTCCTGAACACCGTTTCCCTTACCCAGTAGAACATCAATAGAAATACCCTGTTTTTCTGAACACCGTTTCCCTTACCCAGTAGAACATCAATAGGAGTTCCCTGTTCCCTGAACTCTGTTCCCCTTAACCTATAGCGAACCATGCAGTCCCCTTAGTCCATCAGTAGGACCACCCTGCTCCCTATCTTCCCTTTAGTTCATTTGTCGGACTACCCTGTTCCTTCCAACCCCCCCCAGTTCATCAGTAGGACAACTCTGTTCACCGGTACCAAACCCTGTTCCCTCTTACTCCCGCAGCCCATGCCACCCACATTATACCCCTCTTCCCTTTCGRCTTGTTWACCAGTGATCGGCCCCGTCCCGTCCTTCACAGATTTCAGCATTGCTTCATGATTTTTGGCAGCCGGGACGTTGCCTTCTAGAGGGAGGGGATAGTGTTGCGGACTTCGCAAGGGCTCGATCCCTGGTCTATCTTTTTGCTGTTTCAGCTGCATCCCGTTTTCGGCCTGGCACCCTTTTTTCAAACCCCTCCTTTGGTACCGCAGGATTTTAGACAACTGGCACCATGCTGCAATTCAGGCCACTTTCAAATACTGCATTTTTCTGTTCTGCCCTCGGGGCCTTTGCAGAAATGCCCCTAGTACCGTACGTGTCACCGGTACTTATATCGGCTCCCCGTACGGTACGGGGACCAGTCTCGTACCAGTTCTCTGCTGCTGTACTCGTACTCAGTGTGACTGATTGTTTTCGACATTCGGGAATCCAAGACTTCGACTTTGTGCCTTGCCACTGTGTCTGCGTCCGATCCTCAGTCCGAGTCCGTCGTGTCGAGTGAGTGAGTGTGTGTGTGTGCTCTCACTCTCCCCCTCTCTCTCCTCTCCCTCGGCTCACCCTCAGCCCCACACTCGTTACAAACTCCCTGATTTAGCAAAAATTTGGGCAGCACTCCCTTTAGAAAAATAGACTTCCCAGATTTTTACTAAGCCATATATATATAAAAATCAGACAAGTTGAACTTTTTAGAAAGTCAAATTTTGACTAACTTCTTGGATTTGTAGAAATTTCGACAGCGATTCCCGTAGAGAAAGTAACTTACCAAAATTTATATAAAGCCAAGTTCAGAATCTATAATGACTTTGACTTCTCAAGGTCCAGTCTTACCTAACTCCCTGAATTAACAAAAATTTGGGCATCACTCCCTATAGAAAAGACGACTCTCCAGATTTTTACTAAGTCATATTGAAAGTCAGATAAATTGAACTCTGAAAAGACAAAATCTGACTAATTCCTTGGTTTTGTAGAAACTTCGGCAGCGCTCCCCGTAGAGAAAGTGGCTTGCCAAGATTTATACAAAGCCAAGTACAAAAAAAAATGATCCCAGAAAATGCAAGAATTGACTTAAGTAAAAAAAAAGTTAGCTCAGAAAATGCAGGAATTGAAACTAACTCCTATGACTCTAGCACGTGGCGAGCAGCTAAAACAACTACCTATCAACTGAAACTTAGAATGAAACAGAGTTCTCATTCCGCCACATGCAAGTCAAACCTCAAAGGTAGGTACTCTCCCCATCCCAAGTAAACTTGAACAAACAATAGTTCATGATCCTTCAATGATTTATCCCTTTATACCTTGCTTATATAAGGCATAAGGTCAGGTCACCCAAACTTATGGAATGAGCCTAACTTGCCAAAGAGTATGCACAAACAAAGGGCACAATTACTTCTCTCTTCTTTGGGCATATGACTAGACCATTCTAGTCGCCCTGAACTGTTTAAGATATCCAAGTTATATCTATCTATCTTCCCTTTGTCTTCTAAGGTTGCATAGGACTGAACTAACTCAAGTTCAACCTGCCCCAACTTACCATCAATTATATTCTTAATTATACTCTCTTCAAATTGTGATAGGCTATAGTCAAACCACCTAAACTTATAGAACAGTCTGATTAACTCCTTCTTAAATAGAATAATAATAGAGTATAGCTAAGTTATAACCTTTGGGTTCCAGCATGTGCGAGGCTTTAAGCCAGACCCCCTGAACTTACAGAAGGATCTAACTCTCTGCCAAATTAATTTCTCTCTGAACCATCATGTGTGTGGCATTGAGTCAAACCCCCTGAACTTACAAAAGGGTTTGCCCCTTTGCCAGGTTCGTTTTCTTAGAAAACCAGGAAGAGGCTGAGTCACCTAAACTTATAGAATGACTAAGACCTCCTCGTTCAGAACCAAATAAACAGAGGAAACCCCAAAATAAACAAGGCAACCAAGACACCTGAACTTACAGAATGCACTTGGCCCCTGAAAGAGTCAACCACAGTCGGCCCTCACAAGTCAGAGCAGTCAGGCCACTTAAACTTATAGAACAGCCTGACCCTTTATGAGCAATCAGACCCCCTAAACTTATAGAAGGGTCTGACGCTCCATACAAACCAAAATAAATAAAGCACTGAGTCTCCCCAAACTTATGGGGACCTCCCAGCCTTAATGACCCATTCAACCATCAAGCAAAACAACCCTCCATCCTGCCTTCCCAGATGCTGTTTCTTTTAACAGTCTGATTTCATTCAATCAACAAAGTTGAAACTTGAACTTGAGCAGACATTCTTTTACTTAGTCTGATTCAGTGTCCTGAAAACCAAACAAAAGTCAAAGTAAGGTTGCACACCATATACTCAGTCAGAGATGCAATGGGCAATATAGATAGGGGTTATACCTCAGGTTTATAGAGGGAGTCAAAGAATTACCACTCAGTTCCCTGCCTCCAGGACTCCTCCTAAGTCTCGGCAGAGCTCCCGCAATCGGTGGGGCGAACCTCCCACAGAGGCTTTGGCGCGGATTACGGATTGCAATCCCGCCTGCCGCCTTCCCCTCAGAACCAATAGACTAGATTTAGAGGAAGAGGGGCAGGAGGAGACAAATTTGAGACTCTCAGATCCAAGGAGGGTGCTCTCTGACTCGCGTGAGAGGGCCTTGTTACCTTCAGTCTCCTGAGGGCCCCGCAATGGCAGCCAAATAGCAACCGCTTGGTCCACTTCCGAAGTTAAACGATCAAAATCATACACCTGACGACCTCCTAGTCCGCAACACTTACCCCCCCTTGATTGTAAGGCCTGGTCGCTTCTCTGAGTCTCAGCACCTCTCCTTAGTCCAATTTTTGCCGCAAAGCAGCCCATACGGTCAGCAGCGGTATACCGTAGTGTATAGTAATCAGCAACCGCAGTTCATGCACAACTCATAAACGTGACGGCAGCACACAACGGCGGTCAACAGCAGTTTGTAACGGCCAATTTTACTCCAGCCCGCTTGCAGTAGTAATATGGAGTAGTGTGCCGCAGTCCGGAGTAGAGAGCAGCCAACTACAGTCAGCAGCAGACTGCGCCCAGTATCCGTCAGCAACGGCTAGCAGC